CTGGGCACGGGTCAGTTTAATGTCGGTGACTGAATCTCCGAGAAACCAAAGTGAGAGGGGAAATCTGGGCTGTGTGCACATCGGGCATGGCAGAAACAAGACCTGGCCCCGATCCACACCAGGCAACAGCTGACCACGACTTGGCTGCAGTCTCCCGGCCTCAGTAGACGTTATTTTTATCCGCACGGTTGCTGGGTGCGGAGAGAGACGTCCAGGCGCAGGCTGCGCAGGCCAGTGACTGTCACTCCGGCCGAGGGACAGCTGCCCTCACCGGCCCGGAGCTGCTGTCCAGGTTCCCGCCTGGCCTTGGCCAGCATCTTGGCTGCGGACAGCTCCCGCCGCCCCGCCCCGCCCCGTCCCGCCCTACCACCCCGCCTCGCCGCCCCAGCCCGGCCCTCGGGCCCTCGTCCCCGCCCTCCGTGGGGACGACGCGGCCATCCCACTCCCCAAGCCCTCGGCCTCAGCAGGCTCACAGACCTGCTCAGTCGCCGCTGCCGCCGCCGCCGCTGCCGCCATCTTGACCCGCTGCAGCCCGCGCTTGCGCTCTGGCACGGGGGTGGAACTCACACCCCCGATGGCCACGCCCCACCGCGCCCCTGCCACGCCCCCGAGAGAAATCCGGAGTGGGTCAAGGAGTCCTGGGTTGGCTCAGATCCGCGGAGGCGGGTCCCTCGCGACAGTGAGCGGCCAGGGTTGGATGGGTGTGGCAGGGATGGTATGCACTCTGGGGCGTCCTCAAATTCCTTGGAAAGGACGCCCTCAAAGTCCAAAACATGTCTTTCCCTTCCACACACTTTCCATTGTGGAATGCTGTACCATGTTGTGACGGCTTGAGAGGGCAAGAGGTGTCAGTGAGAGTACTCGTGGGCGAGGTTTGGGTGCAGACCAAGGGGACAGAAGTTAGGCAGTTAATTCAAACTAGGAAGACTCCGGGAAGACTGTGGTCAAGTCTGGCACTCTTTCTTTGAGGCATTAGAGGCAGGTTGTCTGCCAATACAATGTTGGAGACGTGATGACCATAATTAGGTCCTTAGGGACCTATTTGACACACAGTGAGCACCTGGAAGACATTCGGAGGTGCAGGGAACAGGTGCACACTTGTTGTTCTCTGCTCTAACAATCCCTTAAGTCGAAAGGAAAACAAAAGATTGAGCAGCGTCTAACTTCCAAGAACTGTTCCTCAGGTCGTGAATAGCTTCTAGAAAGTACCATGCCCCACCCTAACCCCTCACCCCCCACCCCCGCCCCAAGGGGAATGCTCCACTCAGCTTCTTTTCCCCGGGACCTTAGTCATTTTGCTTTTGTAGCCAGTCCATTCGCTGATGTCTACTGATGACTGTGGAGTTTAAATAGACGCTGTCACCTAACAAATATCTTTTAACCTTTTTTCCTTCTCATGTCTAACTTGGGGTAAAAGCTGCGCCTGTGTGGTCATTTGCCTGCTCATCCCTTCTTCCCCAACTGCTTATACCAACTGGCTCCATCTCCATAGCATGCCTGCATTTTAGGCAGGAAGACTATAAATACAACGCACAGGATTGGGAATTAGTAGTATCTTCGTAATAGTTCGGCTCTCGTCCCATGAATCAACTTTGACAGCAGGGCTTTTGACTGGTCCTGGGTTCCCGTGCTTCTCCTTTTACTGTGCTCAGAAGGTCTTTTCCTTTTTCACCGAAAGATGTTCTCCTTTGTGTCCCCAAGAACCCATCAAATATCTCTTTGGAGCCTTTGGAGGCTACAGTCAATAGTATGAGTCCTCTGTTTCTAATCTTGTGTAGGGTTTTAGTCTGCAGTGTTGAAGGCCTATGTCTCAATCACACACAATAATGAAGCTTACTAAAAGTCTTCCAGAGCTGCCCGATGTTCCGAGTTTTAAGATAAGAAGCCCACTTTGCTTTTCCTACCTAGCTTCACATAGGTGCTTTGATAATACATTTTCCTGAAGTCAGATGCCCCTTGGCTATCTGAAGATCTGCTTTCCTTGGATTCCTCATTGCTAACAGGACACCCACTTATTCTTGTGGCCAATTTGTCTTGTTGTGGCTGTTTTTAAGAGCTGATATTTTATGTGTTTGTCTATTTTGCCTGCAGATACAGATGTGCATGCACTCCCTGCATGCCTGGTGCTGGGGGGGGGGGGCAGAATAGGGTGTTAGACCCTGAGACTGGAGTGGCAATTATGAACCACCAAATGGGTACAGGGAGCTGAGCTCAGGTCCTCTACAAGAGCAGCCAAAAGATGTTAATATCGGAGCTGTCGCTCTCCCCCCCCATTTGTCGTTTGAAAAAGAGAACCAATTCATTCATTCAACCAGAAGCAAAATGTGAGCGTGTCTAATGCTATTATTCTGAAGCCTTTTTTCCCCCTGAAACATTTGGAGGATGCTACGTGCTTGGCAATGTCCCTAATTCTCCCAGCAGTTTTGTTCTGACATTATACCAGTTCACCATGACACCCCCTTTCTATTTAAGTTATTTTGCTGTTAACATAGTTCTCCCCTAAGTAGACTGTGTGCTCCTTACAAACTGGGTGCAGTATGTCATTACATGTTACTCCAAGTCCTGATCATGTTAGGAATGAAATACACAATAAATCCAAATAGCTCTGATGACTGAATACTGGTCTTTTTCGCTGAATAAAACAATTACAAGTATCTCTCATACTCCAGATGAGGCCAACACTACCGTCATTTGTGTTTCCTACGTGCTCGTCCTTAGTCCCATCCCCCCTCCTATAAAACCTGCCACATGGTGTATAAGAAGAGATCCAATTACAATTCTGTTTGTAGCCCTGCCTGCCTTCCCACCGCCCATGAAATAAACAATCTCTTGTTATAAAAGGCTCATCAGAGCCAAACCCACGACTATGCTCAGCTTGTCTCTGACTCTGTAGTCACAGTGGACTCTGCATTTCTTACCCTGGTAGCTTTCATTTCTCTGCATTCCCTCTCCTGTGTCTGGTAGGCTCCTCCATCCTTACAGAGCTGGTTCTAAAGGTCACTTTCTTCCACAAAGACGGGGAATCACTGTGTCCCTGGTTGTATAGTTATCTAATTAGTGTTTTACACACTGAGCTACCATTGTCTGTCTCTTGCAGATTGTGAGATCTCAGAGAGCAGGAAACCAGTCTGACTCCAGCTTATACTTATGGTGGATGGCTGGGTCATCATCAAAACCCAGTAAATGATGTTAAATGTGAGAAAGCTCCATTTCCATATCACCCATCCTAGGCACCACCTTCCTGCCGTACCACACCATTCTTCTGAGAGGATGAAGGCTATCTGTCAAGGCTGAACATTCTTTGCTCCTCTCTGCAGTGTCTGTGTGCTGAACACTCCCTCCCACCATGGTCATGGCCACAGTATAGTGTATTTGCCATTTCATGGAGCTAGTGGTGCTGAAAAAGTTGATGACAGGGATCTCTTCTATGATGAAGTAAGAATATCAGAAACCTTGGTTGGAATTAGAGGGGTATTTGGGTCAATACAATTTTTCTCTTATTTTTCTTTTTTATTCTGTATTTAAATTTATTGTTTATTAAATTTAAATTTATTAAATATTTATTTAGGTTTCATAGTAATAAAATTTCGGTAGATTACAATCCTTGTAGGTTTTTTGTTTGTTTGTTTGTACCTTAAGCAAACTGGGCATGAGGGGAAATAATTCTGGTCTGCCCAGAGAGACCGCATACTGGCATACTGGTACTGTATTGACACTTCACATGAAACCTTGACTTTCTTGCTTCCTAGAGGAGGAACCTACCTTCAGCTTCCATCGGAACCAGTTGATTCTTCCTTCAGCGAAATTTTTTTTTTATTTACGTGGAAGAAAGCATAAGGGGCACAATTAAGTTCCTGATATAAGAACAAAACCACTCGGGTAAGGAGATGCCGACTAAATGGACAAGGAAGTGCCTTGGCACTTAGGACAAAGTGTCTTGTCATATGTCATACCACCAGTAAATTCTCTCCTCTCTCTCTCTCTCTCTCTCTCTCTCTCTCTCTCTCTCTCTCTCTCTCTGTGTGTGTGTGTGTGTGTAGATGTTGTTTCGATGTCTTCACCTTATTTTTTGAGCCAGGGTCTCTCCCTGAACCCAGAGTTCAGTGATTAGACAGACCGATTGGCCGGCAGTCCCAGGAGTCGCCTCTCTCAGAGACCCCCTCCCTCGTTGTTTTAAACGTGTGTACTGGAGATCCAAACCCAGGTCCTCGCGCTTGCATGACAAACACCTCACCGACTGGGAAATCTTACCACTGCGCGGAAAACTCCGTTTTCAAAGCAATTTCGTGCAAGCGGAGCAAAAGCTAGGTTTTCTTTGAACAGAACTACAGATCCTGACACCACCAACCTCACCCCAAAAGAGTGGCATGGTACACCGAGGGACCCGAGTGTCCACACAGAACACAGGTCGGCAAAGGGATTGCACTTGTTCATGCTGAGGAAGACTTGACAGTTAGGGCAAAGATCTCACTGTGTAGCTGCGTGTGTCATTGTATGGAGTACAAATCTATGGACTTAGCCCCACCGAGTGGGTCGAGGGACAAAGCCAAAGATATACGTAATAAAAACGGACATTTTAGTCACAGTTTCACACAGGCAAACGGAGAATTAAATGCTCGAGAGGTGAAAAAGTAAACGAAGAGCCAAGGAAGTCTACTAAAAATTCCCACGGAGTTAACTTGCTTTCCTGGGCACACACTGTCACCCAGAATCGGGTGTAGCTTCCGGCTAGGTGTCCTGAGGTCCCCTATCCTCCTGGCAGGTCTAGGCCCAGCGCAGGGTCGGGCAGCAGCCCCCAGGGGTCTGGACATCCCCCAGCGGGTCGCACACTGTTGCCCTCGCTGCGGTCTTGGCAGCTCTCCGAAGTCCCCGGGCTGGGCGTGAGCTGGGGGGGGGGGGGGGGGGGGCGTTGCTCCGACGCTAGCCGCGGGTCCCTGGCAGCCCGCAGCCACGTCAAGGTTTGTTTAATAATCGACCGGGTATTTATGGCCTGGCCCGCGGGCGGCGGCTGGGAAGCTTGAACAGCGGGCTGGCCAGTGGATGAGGCGCGGCGCCTGCGGCTCAGAGCGCCTCCCCCCTCGGTTTCCCGAACCCTGCCAGGTCCGACCCGAGGGGGAGGATGGACACTCCAGCTGCGTTCTGAGCCTGCGCAGAAAATAACACCCTTGCGGCGGCCACAACACCCCACCGTCCTACCCAGGCCACCCCCTCGTCCCTTCTACTACTCGATCTCCCGGAGTCGGAGGCGCGGAAAAGCGCGCGATGGCGGAGAACGTGAAGAAGCTGGCCAAAAGCGACTCTTTTCGAGGGCTGCAGGATAGAGTCTCCTTCTGGGTGCAGGACTACAACGTGAGTCCGGGCGGGAGACCCCAGGGCTCTCACTGCCTAGTTTCCCCGCACAGCCTCGATCGGGGCTGACGTCCAGGAGGTCACTTCACAAAGTCGCCGCTCTTGATACCCTAACAGGCATCTCAGACTCCTACTTAGATCCAAGAAGGAAGTCCTACGTCTATGGGAACCCTTCACCTGGGGCGGGATGACTCCAGGCGGCCGCAGAGCGTTGGCCAGTGTTCGGTAACCGTGGACGCCGGAGGCCCTAGCAACAGAAGGAACAAGTCGGGCTGCCAGCTCCCCTCTCGCTCCCCCGCCCCCCGCCCATTCTCTCTGCCGGCTTTGGAATTTTATTTTCTACTGTACCCTTTTCCACTCCCTGCGGGGTTTCCTTTCTGTGAGGTTCTCAGTTTTCAGGACGTCCAGTAGCCTAATAGAGCGAACGTTTCTAAACCTACACCCGGGAACTATTATTTTAGTAAAGGGGACATTTGTAAAAGTTGCGCCCTTTGCGTGCTGGCAACATGGCAGAAAGGTACCAGGGCGACTTCCAGGAGGTGTTGCCAAGGCAGTGTCACCAGCATTCTGCCACCCAGAAGCACACTCCAATTTTCACTAATCCCACACCACCCTGGCTCCAACAGCGGCATGCTGAATTTGCCTCACATTCCATGAAAGTACCTTGAATAGGCAGGCAGCTCTGGGCTTTTCCTAGAGCACAGAGCAGTCAGCAGGGAGAGGTGTGAGCTGGGACGACAGACATTGGCCTGACTTCTAGGTCTGAATGTGGCTACAATTAGCCAAGTAATGTTTGCCAGCCTCTCTGGGTTTCAGCACCTCAATCTGCTCCATAGTTGGGGTTTTAATTATTATTAAATAATAATTGACTAGTAATAATAGTTCTTATTATTACAATAATATGTAACGTTGCTTTGTGGATCTCAGATTTTTAAAATCTAGACCAGCTTGGTTTTTTGAATTTATACCTGAATCCATCCCATATCTTGTTATGTGTAGTTTGGATTTGGGTCACTTGCTAAGCAGGTACTTGTAATCCCCAAAGTGGTTTTGTTAGTAGCAAGAAATTTTGAATTAAACCTTAAGATGAATATTCACTGCAGCAAACTCTAGTTAAAATACTAGCTGTAGGAAACTACATTTATGAAAAAAAAAAAACAACAACCCTGTAAATTGTATTTGCTTTGGAAGCCTGATTTTGATGACTAATTTGGTTTAGTTAGAATTAGAAATTTTAAAAACGTCATGAATAATCCTTTACAATTAAAGCCCCCCTGGGGGAAATTTACTTTAAAAGAAAATAAATGGTTTATATTAATCCTAAACACAATACATAATTTCAATTTTCTTCCAATTAATGACTTTTTTTTGGCTAATACCCATTTAGCTTTCCTTTTATTTCCCTCATGTGGCTTCCCCCCTTTCATCCTCCTCTCCACCTTAGTTTAGGCGGTGCTGCACTTGCACCCACAGCCTGGTAGCTGCCCTTTAAGACGGACTTCACCGTGTACAGTGCCTTGGCTTCTTCTTATCCATGTGTTCATCGTCCTCAATTTCAGTTACCTACAGTCAACTATGGTCTGAAAACACAAAACAAAACCAATTGCTATGTTTTAGACTGTGTGTGTGGGGTAGGGTGATGAAATCTGTATTAGAGGTTGATTCATCTCCTGCTGAAGCTTGTGCAGAGTATGTGTGAGCGCTATACTACCCGCAGGTAGCGCTGCCTCAGTTTCCAAACACAGCTGATGGTCTTTAGAAATATCAGTCTATGCCCTAAAGCCTTTTTAATCCTAGCACTTGAGAGGCAGAGGCAGGTGGATCTCTGTGAGTTTGCAGCTAGTCAGGTCTACAGAGTGAGTTCCAGGACAGCCAGAGCTGTTGCACAGAGAAACCCTGTCTTGAAAAGCCAATATTATGATATATATATATTATATTATTATATATATATTATATATGTGTGTGTGTGTGTTGGTTTATGTTTAATCTTAAAGCACCTAGCAGTCTTCTGGGTCGTGAAAGAAACTACTCCCTGTTGATTTGGACACCATCTTTTTTAGGGCCGATGAGATGTTTCTTTAGGTAGGGTCACCTGCTGCCACGCCTTGTCCTGAGTTGGATCCGCAGGACCCACATGATGGAAGGAGAAGCCCGACTCCCACGAGTTGTCTTCTGACTTCCACGCGTGTGCTGTGACATGTTTGCAGCTCCTACCCACACGCAATGTAACAGTGTTTACAAGTTTCCCAACAGTTCCCTAGAGAAACAAGCACTAAAGCCTACAGCTGAGACAGCCAACAGCTCTGCCTCTCTTTGCCAAGCGGGTGCTACTGAGCTTAACGTGAGCCTCTCAGGAACCTTTAAAGGACAGCTTGGTCTGAACACGTGACTTTCAGAAGGTGCTCACTATCTTTGTTCAGCTAGGAGCCAAGGCAAAAACTGAACTCAGCCAGCAAATGGTTACTGGCCAACAAATCAGGGGGCCTGACAAGAATTTTTGCAAGGCATCTTTAAAAGAGCATGTTGTGTGCCTGTCTATGCTTGGTGCTGGGAGGGGGAGCTACACATTTTTAATTTAAAAAGTTTGTTTTCTGTGTATGTTTGGCCTGTGCACCGCTTGTGCAGTCCTGGCAGAGAACAGAAGAGGGCACCAGGTCCTCTGAAGCCAGTTACTGATGGTTGTGCTGATCCCGCCCTATGAGTGCTGAGAACTGAACCAGGGTCCTCAGAGAGCAGTCAGTGCTCCTAACCACTGAGCTGTCTTGCCATCCCTAATGGAGTCGTGCCTTAAAGACAAGCCTCCCTCTGTAGAAGAGAAAGACCTTGTGCAAGGAGTAGGGAAGCCCGAGGGAACTGGTGGGGGCTGGGAAGAAGAGGCTGAGCAGTTGGAGAGTTGGGGCAGGCATCAAAGAGCCATGGGGAGGGGGGAGTTCAGCCTTTGCTTGAGGGCCCAGAGGGAGACTCTGAAAGCACAATACAGGAAGAGGACCACTTGGGATTGGACTCCTCACTGGTTGCTCTAGTTGTCTTGTGATGGGCAAAGTGCAATCTCTAGAAAGAGGGTTTGGGGTTAAGTGATACTTGAAGCAAGAGAATTTATGAATAAATGAACCTGGCATATTTAGCCGACAAGATGAAAGACACCAAGAATGTCCCCTAAGGCTCCTGTGAGAGGGTACTGTTTAAATGCCAGAAATTTTCGGGGCGACAACTTTATAGTTGTATTGGTCAGTTCTGTAAAAGGCAAGGATCCCTTTATAAGCTGAATTCTGATGACAATTACTTCTTGGAGTTGTAACACCTTATGTTACACCACCTTCAATGGGTCAGCCCTGGACTGGATCCCTCCTCCCTCTGGGATACTCCATTTCCCCTCCAAGTCCTGTGGACTAGGGAGTTAACTTGAGTTAGATGACCTTAGTTTGATTCTAAAGGCGTGTGTTCGATAATTATAGCAGCAAATGGTAAATATGCTATCCTTTATAGTCTATCCTCAAGATGGGATAGATGCCATATACTTTGAGTCAGAGTCTTGCTATATATAGGCAGGGCTAGCCTCTAACTTGAAATCCCTCTGCCTCAGCCTCCTGAGTGCTGAGATTACAGACATGCAATTGCTTTTAAAGTAAGATGATAGATAGTAGGACATCACAATTTAGAAACTTTGTTTTTTGTTCTTTAACAAAAAGGATTTCCTGTAGCCCAGGCTGGCTTCAAACTTGGTTACATAGCTAGAGATGAACTTGAATTCCTCATCTTCCAGCTTTCACCTCTCATGTACTGGGATTACATGTGTGAGCCATCATGCCCAGTTTACATGTGAAACTGAATAGGACTAGAATCAGGGATTTGTGCACGACAGGCAAGGATCCTATCAGTGGATCCCCAGCCCCCGGAAAGATCAGTTATTTAATATATGAGACTGATGGCAAGAGCTCTATTGTTATTCTCTTCCATTAAGGATGTGTTCACCAATAGTTGAAAACATGGTGTTCAACATCAACATACGAAAAGGAGATCTTACTGAGGCATGTCTTCTGTTTGGTTTAGAATAGCATTTGTGGTTGAAAGAGAGGTCTGTCAGTGTTGCCATGGTGTGTTCCAACAGACTCCCTGACCACCGTAACCACTCCTCGGTCAACAAACTAACACGTTCTTCATGGTACAATCTAAGCAGTAAACTTAGAAAGGACTTTCTGCTTTTCCTTATCTCTTTACTACCAGTTCAAGCTGCAGGAACAAGCAAACTCGTGGCTCTCAGGGTCTCAATGGGAAGGATACTTTTCTCTTGAAAAGTCACAGGGCACCTTTTCATCTCTGATTCAGTTCCCCTTGAGAGAGCACGGCTGGTGTCCGAGCATGCCATCTGGAAGAGCTACAGGGGATGGAAGCAAACTTGTACTGCTCTTAAATGACATATTTAAGATGTCTTGTCCATCATCCTTTCGCCAGAAGCATGGCTGTGTATCATTTGATAATGGGTGTCTCTGTTGAGAAAGGCATCCCTGGGAAATTCTGGGGTTGTGTGAGTATCATAGTGTGTACTTACCCAAGCTGGATGATGCTATCAAACCACTGTCTTGTACATGGCTGTTAGAAACAGAAATGTCATATAACCATAGTTTTGTGACGCCAGCCTGATTGTCAGGCAGCTAAAGAGTGGCTGAGCGTGTAAACACACTGCGGTATCATAGAGATCTGTTCTTACTTTCTTGGAGCTGCCCTCCTCTTTGCCTTCTGGGTCCTCCTTCCTTCCTTTCTTCCTTCCTTCCTTCCTTCCTTCCTTCCTTCCTTCCTTCCTTCCTTCCTTCCTTCTTCCTCCCTCCCTCCCTCCCTCCCTCCCTCCCTCCCTCCCTTTCTTTCTTTTTTGCCATCATTTTGCTCTTTACTAGTTATCTTTTCTTCCTCAGTCCACTTGAGACACAAGATGGTCCCTGAGCCCTCTGCCCATCCTGTATCATTACTGTGATCTCACCTCTGTAGGTTTCCACTCTCCCATCAAAAGCCACACCCCCATTCCTGTCTCTCTTTAGCAGTCTGGATTCTACCTGTTTTTGGTAGTGTTGTGGTGTGAAGCACACACGTCTCCCATGCTGAGGTTGTGAGAAGCCCAACTCAACCGTCCTTTCTTCAAATGGCCTGACTTTCCTTTCCTGAGCTGGTGTGTCTCCCGTAGGAAAGGTAGCCGATGTATAGGATTGTCCCTTCTCCTTCCCTTCTTTCCCCTTCTTCTCCCCTCCCCGGCTCTCTTTTCCTCCTCCCCAGGGCCTGTTTTGTTTAGCCTCTAGCTTACTTCCCGCACAGAACACTTGATATAGTCTGGGGTGATCATTTATAGACTGTTTCTTCCTCATTCTCCACCCTCTCCCCCAGCTGCTGAGCTCACCCACAGCAGGCAGCACGTTTCATTTAAAAGTAACTTTGGCATGGGGGGCATAGGAAGTCTGGGACTTACGAATAAATGAATCTGAAGACTGCTCTGCACAGGGTACATTTGATTCCCATCTTTTCTCTGCTTCTCAGATGATAGGGCTAATTGAATAATGTGATCCTATTGTAACTCAAGCCATCTTAAGCAGTGCTTTGTGTGGGGAGCTGGGCATGTTGTGACTTGTCTTGGGATATCCCCGTGAATATTTGTGTTGTGTACACAAATGCTCCTTTGGGCAGCAGACAAGGCATCGAAGCAGGTGGTGGGAAACCACAGACACACTTCTAATAGAGGATCTATGCTGAGTTAGCACACAAAGTCAACTCCTTCCTAAATCCGAGGACACAGTATCTCATTTACATGTCTTTCATAAAAGAATTGATCTTGCTGGTGGAGAGTGGGATTTGAATCCAGAGCTTCCTGATTCCTGGGCCCTGGCTCTTACACAGCACCTCACAGCTGCCTTTTGTTTCTCTAAGGGCTGGGTAGTTTGTTTAGATTCTTTCTCCGAACACTTTGTATTCCCACAGTTTGAGACAGGAAATAGGCCCAGACAGCAAGGTTGGGTAACCAACATCTATGTAATTTACAATCATGGGTTTATTGTTTGTTCATACACCCACCCCTTCTTTCAGTGTTGGAATCACTTCAAGGTCTAGCTATGAACATTAAATAGAGACCAAAACAGAATAAAAATCAAGAGGCCCACATGACCTTCTAGAGTTCCATTCTCATCACTGAAAGGGTTCCACGTCCAGTAGGGCCATCTCTTTCCCACAAACTACCTAGTTGACTTCATTTCTTCTCAGACTTTAGAACCCTTCCCCGATTTTTCAAGACAGCAGCTGTTCAGTGGACTTGATGCCCCTTAACTCCCTGCCGTCATCTGCTAGTGGCCACGGGCCTCCTTTTGTCTTGCTCCCCCATAGCATCCTGCACCCAGCATAATACCGTCCTGCTGTTAAAGGAGTTGTAGACTTGGCACATATAATACCAAGAACTGAATGTTATGTACAGTATGATAAAGCAGATGAATGAGGTGACAATGTGCATTGGGGTGTAAAGAGTCTCTTCGGTTCATAAGGGAATTTTTTTTTTTAACTTTCAGGATTCTGAGTCGAATCATTGTTATGAAAGTAATTCCTCAAACCTCAGAGGGTTAAACACCCACAAACAACTTCCTCAGGCACTTCTCATTAATCAAGTCAATAGCTTTGGGGGTCTTGTGGGTTCACACTTCCCCTCCTCCACAGGAGGGAATGCTTCCTCTGCATTTACCTGCTAGATCTGGAAATCTAGAAACAGGATTGCTCAAGAGATTCTTTTCCTGCCAGGCCCAGTCATGGTGTATAGAACTGAGTTCAATCACAGAGTCGCCAAATGCCAGCTGTGTGTTCAGAGGAATAGATCTTGGGCAGAGAGCCTGGTAGCCCCTGGATTACATAGTCATGTCTATCTGCAGCCAGTTCCAGAAACAAGGAACTGTACAGATGTCTTCTGTTTGACTTTACAGACAAACTCCTGCGACGAAAACCTAAATTACTGCATCGGACTCATTGAACAAGTGGCCAAAGTGCAGGCACAACTCTTCGGGATCCTCACATTGACAGCCCAAGAAGGTGAGAGCAATTTCTGCCTCCCCACCCTTCAAACCCTCTCCTTTTCTGTTTGTGTGAATGTGTGTGTGTGTCCACGTCCTCTGGCTGATCTGCCACGTCCATTCTCTTAGGAGGACATAATGAGGGTGTGGCAACGATCAAGAGTCGCCTTTTGCCTTTACTGGAGACATCTTTCAGCTCTGCAAACGTGGGAAAACTTACGGACAACAAGGCTGCCATCATGCAGGTAAGGATGCACAAGGATGATGCAGCAGCATAAAACTGGAACTTTCAAGTTTGGAAAAGTGAGCAAACAGTGTTCTTACGTAGGCCTGGCACTGGTGACTTCCACGGGCAGTGGAACTTTCTAGGTAGTTGGAATCCAGAGCGCAAGCATGACGCATACCAAAATTAAGACAGCAGTCCCGTCATGTTTTCTGTTGCCACAACAAACTCCTGCAGGAGACAGCAATATGTTGGTGGGCATATGTCCTGAAGGGAGTGAGTACATCCCTGGGAGCCAGGACACGGGGAGGGGCCAGGCTTGCTCATTCATAATAACTCTCTTGAGAACTAGCCCGGGTCTCGTGAGAACTCCCGGTTTTTCCATGTTCTGATGGCTTCTCCCATCACACCCTACCTGTCACCTGGAAACACCAGGGCCCAAACTTTCAATCCACATACTCTTGAGGAACACAGTGTAGCCATATTATATACAACGGCAGCCAGTAATTTTACTTCCAGATGTTTAAATGGCTTTGCATAGACTTATAAAAATGGACGGAGTTCCCCAAAGCTACAGAGAAACGTAGTTAGAGTGGGCTGTTCTCAGCAGGAACCAGTAGTTGAACAGTTTCTGCTTAGGTGAGAACCAAACTGGACAGAAACCCTGGGGAGTTGTAGACTTTGATGTTTCCTTTTACGTACTGGCCACAGGAGGACAATAAGTTTGCCAACTTAATGTTGCCATCCTGGTTTCTAAAGCATGGTAGGTATACAAAAACAAACAGGTTTGTAGCAAGCCTGGCACCTGGTAAGATTTCTCTTTACCTAGACGTGGCAGTCGTCATTAGTACTTTTTGAGGACAGACACTGGCTACAAGTTTACTGTCTGTGGGTATTATTCTGGGTTAGGGGGTCTTTATATTCTGGGAGCAGAGGTGATGTAGGATGATGTTTTAACATCTACACTTAAAATCAAGTTGTAATGTATATATAGTGAAGCCCACAGTAGATGAGTTTTGAACCGGGAACAAACACACAAAACTCATCCCTACACTGATCCACAAACGGCCACCTCCCTCCAAGCCTGCCTTGTGTCACCTCCAGAGCAGCTGCTGAGGGTTTTCCTGCTGGAGAAGTTCACACAAATGAATGCAGCTTCTTTTGCTAAGTGTAGTGTTTTTGTCATGCGTCCATGCTATTGTCCATGTCCACACTACTTTTTTTTTTTTCTTTCCAGGACACGTATTTTAGAGACAAAACGAGAGAAGCTAGTTTTCAGGATCAGGACCAAGAGCAATTAGACTTTGACTCCAGCCCCGACAGTCAACAAAACCAGGTTCAAGACGAGTAAGAGGAATGCAAGTTATCTTTTTTTCAAAAAGAATTATTCTAGAATTAATTACTTTTTAAGTTTGAAAAGAGAATAATGGGTCATGTAAAATGTAGGGATTTGCAAATAAGTGTGTGTGTGTGCATGTGTGTGTGTGTGTGTGTAAGGGAGGAAGGAGGAGAGGGAGGGAGGGAGTAGAATGTGTGTAGGAACTTATGACTGAGTTGGGGCCTGGGCATCTGCATTCTATGATCCTTGGTTCTTCACCTCCATCTCTGTTGCTCACTCAACAGCTCATGTTTTAGATAAATATCAGTAGATAACAGCCTGTTAGTCCAGAGACTATGTAGAAGGAGAAGGTTGCAGGAGAAGGGAAAGGTGGGATGAAGAGGAAGACTAAGAAAAAGAAACAGAGCAGGTAGAGCAGGGACGCCTGTATCAGCTACTTTTCTCGGTGCTGAGACAGAGGATCCGAGTTTAAGGGACACGGAGTTTATTTTGGAGAAATAAATTTCATCATGGCAGCTGTATCACAGGGCAGCTGCTCTCCTCACATCCAGTCAAGGGGCAGAGGGCGATGCATGCTAGGCTCAGCTCCCCTCCCTTGTTGTTCAGTCTGGTAGGCAGGCTTCTGCTTCAGACATCCGTTACCCCAATTCACATAATCCCTCATAGGCATGCCCAGAGCCTTATGACCCAGTTGTTTGTTTTTGTTTTTTTGTAAGACATAGACTATGACTGACCTGGAACTCAAAGAGATCTACCTACCTCTGCTTCCCAAGAGATAGAATTAATGGCATAGAGGCAAAAGCCACTACACATATGACTTACCTTCTAGATCCTGTCAAGACCACCATGTCTATTATCTTTTTTGTTTTGGTTTTTGGTTTTTCGAGACAGGGTTTCTCTGTGGTTTTGGAGCCTGTCCTGGAACTAGCTCTTGTAGACCAGGCTGGCCTCGAACTCACAGAGATCCGCCTGCCTCTGCCTCCCGAGTGCTAGGATTAAAGGTGTGCGCCACCACCACCTGGCCATGTCTATTATCTCTTCGGGGAGCATCTATATTTTATTGGGAGAATTGTAAACTTAATCCAGGTTTTTGAATAACTAGCTATTATATATATATATATACACATATGTAATATGGTATGCGATATATATATGTATATATATTTAAAAGTTAGGCAAGGTCAGGCAACAGAAAAGAGTCAGATTAAGCTTCTGGAATCACTACAAAGAAATTTCCAGTTTTCGGTCTGAAGGTAGGCAATTTATATGGAGCAATTTATATGGGGTACCATTTGACAAGCTTAATTTAAAAACCAACAAATAACACCAATACACACACACACAACCCCCTCATCCCTAGCATCCACTTCATTCCTACCGTGGATAGGCAGGGATGGAATAGTTTGTGACTCTATCTTGTTCTCTGGTGGAATTTCCTTTTTTTTTTTTTTTTTTCCCTACATGGAGAATCTTGCCATTTTCTCGAGAGTAAAAACTGCAAATTTCCTTCTCAAATGCATAGAAACAGAAACGTAAAGATGGAAGTCTTGTTAGGTCATTCTGTCAACACTTTGACACACTGTGTGTGCTTGCACCTCCACACACACCTAGGCAGCAGTCACACAACTGCAGTAGACAAATGCACACCCACAAAAGCTGAGTTCCTCTGAAGGACTCGAATGTGTTTCGTGTTAGCTGATCCTTCTGTTCAGCACTTCTGGTGAGATGGGCTTATGTCCTTTATAGAAATCCTCTTTGTGTAAAGTGTCTACTAAATTCCAAGAGCCATTTCCCTTCTGAGCTGGTTTGTCTCTTGTGGGATTTTCTTGATCTATGCTTAGGCATCCCCAAAGGTGAGTCACTTGGGTCTTGCACTGTCCTGTGGTCTTTGCTGGCCTTCGTTCCCTCTGGGCACTAGCGTCTTATGCTGCTGGGTTCTGAGTTGGGTCTTGTCTGGTTCAGTTTCCTGGCAACTGCTTCAGATGTTGAGGACCTTCTGGTTTCTCTAGTTATAAGGGAAAGCTTTGAGGATTTGTTGCATTTTGATGTCCGCTAGCACAGGACAGGATTTCCTACTTGTTTGTTTGTTACATGGGTCTCACAACCACTCTAAAGGGGTGATAAGGACCAGGGATCTTGATTCTTAGCCAGTGTTCTGGTGCTGTGAAGGGACCATGATAACTGCAACTCTTATCATCGAAAGCATTTAACTAGGGCTGGCTTACAGTTCCAGAGATTTAGTCCATTGTTACCATGGTGGGAAGCATGGTAGCGTGCAGGCAGATGTGGTGCTGAGAAGCAGCTGGGGGTTCTATTATCCAGATCTGCAAGCAGCGGGAAGAGAAAGACACGGGCTGGTTTTGGCTTTTCAAACCTCGAAGCCCGTACCCATGACATTCTACATGAAGGTCATATCTACTCCAAATGCCACACTTCCTGATCCTTCTAAGTAGTGCCACTCCCTGACAGCTAAGGATGCAGATATATGAGCCTATGGGGGCCACTCTTATTCAAACCACGACATTGGTGAATGCATGCATACACACACACACACATATTTAAATATATGAAAAATGCTTCCAGGACAGAAATTTGTAAGAATAGTGTCCCAAACACCAACCCATCCTTCCATGTCACGTGTTCCGTTTACTTTATTACTTCCGAGTGACTTCCTTTCCTTCCAGAAGCTCACACGGAGATACTGACTGCCATGTTCCTATTTTACTTAGTTATGTTTAACACCTCTTTGGCTCATACTCTGTTTTATTGAAGATCTCCCAAATGATGAAGTGTGTGTTTCCTATACCAGAAATTTGCTCAAAGAATCAAACCAATTCATCACAAATCATTTAAATAAAGTATATTCACCTGACTAAAACAGCTTCTAGGTTAAGAAGGTATATCTCTGCCTCCTATCTATTCCTCGTGTCATCCAAATGTGTGGAATTAGAACTGTGTGTGTGCATTTGTACATATATGTTTATACTGTGTGCAAGGAGGGGGAGTACTTCATCTGTCTGTACTTTTCCTCTTGGTTCATTTTTTTTATTACTGTTGATTTTCTTCAGCACTTTCATCAAGAGAGAATTGAAGAAATCATCTTTCCACATTAACCTTAAAAATCTGTAATAGATTCAATTTTTTAAGAACAAGCTACTTTCCCTTCAACCTGCAACAGCTGTATTAAGCCGTTTCTAATCCAGCACTCTTTTAGACTAGACAGTTTATTCATTCATTTCGTATTTCATCTTTCACAAAGATCTGTGTGATGGGCTCTAAGCGCTGAGGGTAAAGAGGAGCAGCACAGTTTGTAGTTTATGGTATGAATATGAGACAGATGTCAATGGCACTCAGCGGAAGAGGGCATGCTGAACCTGACGCCGTGTCTGGTGGCATGTGGAAGGTGGAGGTGGGCTCACGTGTAAGTAGTGACCGATTGCCTGGGTTCTGTGGGGTTGGTACGGATTCTTCATCCCGTTATTTCCCTGTCTGCTTTATTCTCTCGGCGAAGACCCGTGTTGGTCGGATTCCAAGCCTGTGACAAAAGACCCGAGACATATAACTTAAGAGGAGAAACAGTTATTTGGGCTCATGGCTTCAGAGATCGTGGCCTCTGGGACCCTTCACTTGGGGACTGTGATGAGGCAGCATATCACGACAGGGAGTGCACAGTAAAGAGAAACACCTAACTTGATACTGGCTGGGCAGCGAAGAGAGAAGGGACCTCGGTGTCCTCTTGAAGGCATGCTCCTTGTATCTTCCCAGCAGGTCCCAGTGCCCCCGATAGCATTTCCAGCCAGGCATCAAGCCTACCCCACTTGAGCTCTGGGCACACATTGAAGATTCAAACCACAACAAGATCCCGATGTTTTACCCCCTTTATTTTTTCACTAAAAGACTCATACTCTAGCCTCAGGACTACTGTGTAGGGAAACAGCCTAGATATTTCATGGGAGGCAAGTCACAGATGTTATGGACCCTTTGTGAGCCTGTGATGTCCCCCTGTACCAGGACAGTTCCATTGAGAACCGCTGGTCTCCATCCAATGTCCATCTGACCTTCACTGGCTGAATTTGAATTCTCTGGTCAGAGAAAGATGATGTGGCTTAATCCAAGTTAAGAGAGTCCTGGATACTAATTTTCGACCAAGTCATTTGGACAATTGTCCTTAGTAAGTGGTGGAAATCAATGACATAAAACCATATATATCTATATCACACACACACACACACACACACACACACACGCACTACTTTTCTTCATGCTGTGACCAAATATCTACTGAAAAGCAATGTAAAGGAGACACTATAGTTCACCATGGCAGCAGGAGCAGCTCCTGCCTGTGGCTGCAGGAAGCTGCTTGCTCACATACGGGGGGATTGAAGAAGATAAAGGGGATACTGCTGTTGTGCTGGCTTTCTTCCTTTTCCTAGTTTCCCCGGAAGCATCTGATGGTCCTGTCCATGTTAGGGAATGCCTTCCTCTCTCTGCTCATCTTCTATGGAAGGATCTTCGTGGACAAGATCCTAAAGGAGTGCCTCACTGACACCTTAGATGCTTCTTGCTCTATCATCAGAATTAACTGCCACAAGGCTGGCAAGATGGCTCAGTGGTTAAAGGGTGTTTCCTGTCAAGCCTGATGACCTAAGTTCCATGTCTGGAAGGGCAGAAATGACTCTCACAAGTTGTCCTTTGACCTCCACACATGCACTGTGGCTTGCACGAGCGCAGACGCTATAAAAAGAATTTGGAAAAGCAGCCGTCACTAACCCCACTCTAACCAGCCTGACATCCAAGTACAGGGCTTTAAATCATAGTATTGTGCACTGGCTCGAATAGCCTCATGCTGATCCCAAAGTGCACAATGGATTTAGTTCATCTCTAGGAATTCCCAACACCTTAAGAGTTCTAGAATTGTTCAGAAGTGCAAGCTCAAAGTCTTCTCTGAGATTCAAGGGACTCCATTAACCCGTCTAATCTCAAAAGTCAGTTCTATACTTTGAATGTATAGCGACACAGTAAACATGCCCATTCCTTACAGGTATAAACTGAAGCACAGAAAGAGCAGAGCAAAGCAAGACAGACCTAGCAAAAACCAGATCCTGAGGCTCCAAGTGTGGCATCGGGGTTCTTGTGGAATTATCTAGGCTCCACTGGCTTTACGGCTAGTCTCTTCTTTCTGGGGTCTTCACTGCAACATAAGCTGACCTTTCATGGTTTCGTGCGCAGTGCAGTCTGCAGCTGCATGCAGGCTAACCAACCTTGGTACACATCACCTGCTCTCACTGGTTTTCTGGATCCTTGGTTTCTCACCTCCATAGCGCTTCATTCTTACAGCACGCATGTGCAAAACCGGTACCATATGCATCATCCAAAGTTGTCCCGCCATCTTGAGATATAACCTAGCCCGTTTGGACCATAGCGCAACAACCTGTGGGACTTCTCGGCTGAACCCAGGAAAACCCAGGCCACGTTTTCTCAGGCATTCTCCTGTCAAGTGAATTTGCATGAACACACCCAGGAACTCTTGTTGGTTGGGATCTTGTCCTTTAGGCAACTTTTGTGTCGTCCCTGTGCAGCATCCAAAGTTTCTCATTAATGGAGCTAATGTCTTTAACCTCTTCCTGCCTGATCTTCAACTTGAACTGGGTCCACGTTTCTTTCCCCACTAAACCGCACACTTCTGTTTGTAGCCTTAGACAGGTCACGTGGTTCTTCAGCACCCCACACGCTTTTCCCGTCTTTATGCTTCATCGTTCTCTCTCACTGTAAACCTGGGAAGTGCGGTGAGCAATCGCCACAGCACAACCTGGATAGTATGCTGCCCTGAAATTCCTTTTGCCAGACAAATGATGCACTGTTTTTAAGTTCAGCCTCAGGGTGTGGACAGAAACGCAGCCAGGTTCTTGGCCAGAATGACATGAAAGTCTTCTACTACCCTTCCCCGTGAAGTTCTGATGGTCTAAATCTGAGCTGGTACTGTTCCTGCTTCTACATGGTTCATATCTTCATTCTGGGCTTCAAAACTCCTCCCGGAGATCCATTAAGCTCCAATTGCAGCCTTCTAGGGCTTTCTCCAGCCTGCAGTTTCAAACTCTTCCCTATTATTTCCACACGCCAGTCGCATGAGCAATTTTGGTCAGTGACTAGGGTTTCTGTTGCTGTGATAAAGCATCATGACCCAAATCAGCCTGGGAGATAGGGGTTTATTTAATCATACAGCTTGTAGTACCTGATCCGGGGAAGGCAGGCAGGAACTCGTGGCAGGTTACCTGAAGACAGGAACTGATGCGCAGTGGTCATGGAAGAGGGCTGCTTACCGGCTTGCTCCTTATAGCTTGCTCAGCCTGCTTCCTATAGCGCCTAGGGCTTCCTGCCTAAGGATGGCATTGCCCACAGTGAGCTGGGCCCTCAGAGAGCAGTCAGTGAGCAAAATACATCACAGGCTAGTGAGGACATTTTCTCAACTCAAGTTCTGTCTTGCCAAATGACTGTGGCTCGTGTCAAAGCTGACATAAAACTATCCAGCATACCAGACTAGGTGAATCTTAGGAGAAAAATGTTTATATTGGCTCATGGTTTATCACAGAGAGGAAAGTGTGCCGGAGAGACAAGGCATTGGAGGCATTTGGAAGCTGCTTGCTCATGTCTTTGTGGAGCAGGAAGTAGAGACAGGAGAATGCTAGCCTTCAGTGGCTACCTCTTCCCACTCCCCACTAGTCAGCCCATGGGATGCTTCTGACTCTACTAAAGGTTATTCTTCCTCTCTCCAGTTAATCTTCCCTGAAAACATCCCCGTAGACATACCTCCAAACACTTATTTTGTCAAGATTCTTAATAGAATCAAATTGGTAACCATAGTTCACCACCACAATGGATGAATGACTATTTTTCCATTGAAAAAGTACTAGAAAAATAAGTTACATCACACAGTGAAAACTGAGAATAAGAATTGGTCCATAGTGGAAAATGGAGAGCTTCCATAGAGAGGCTACTTAGGGACCGGATGGAAATGGTAGGCGATGTAAGAGGACTAAGTAGGAATTGAGTTTTATCCTTTACCATCTAATGTTGATAGTTATCACAGTCTTTTAGGGACTAGCTCTGTAATCTTAATCTCCCTGCGTTTGACTAAGCAGAATGGAGGATGCTGGCGTGTTTCTGTTTGACTCCATCGTAAAGTCTACAACATGGTCTGAGGGCTGAGAATCTGATGTTTTTTTTTTTTTTTAATGGCAAATTTGTAACTCAGGCAAGGAGTTTCCTAGAAAATCTATGCCTTGAGTTGGAAAGTCTGCCAATTTGGGAAAATCTGGTTTTAGTTACTGATTTCTCTTACAGTCTGGCTGACACTGGAAAGAGTCTTGAAGGAACCAGGAACAGACCAACCATATCCCTCATGGCTGCAGAGGAGGAGATAAATCAGCTAAAAAAGCAGTAAGAAAACAAGAACCCATAGAACCCTGCAGCTGCTGCCGAGCCACCGAGTTTAGCTTTTCAGTCATTTACTACAAATGCGAGAACTCACCATGAATGAGGAAGGGCGGTGGCGTTTTATGAATACTTAGCTTCTTTTTCTCACTACAAGAATTTCTTGCTGACTACAGGAAATTTCTAAAATGTAGCATAGTATCCAGGAGCCTAAAGCCCCTCTCCTCATACTATGGCACTTAACGTTACCAGTTTATTTCTTCCAGTTAATAGATTGAAACAGCCAAGAGCAGATTGAGGTCTATACGGTTTTGGACTCCACCTTTTCATTATACATACATATATACATACATACATACATACATACATTATCATCGAGATAAAAGTAATGCAGAAGTTCGTTTTAAATAGGTTCATCATCTTAAATTGTTCTAGAATTTCCTTCATGTTGAGCATGTACGTGGATATTAACTTTTAATTCTGGATTAAAAGACATTGGAATAAATTTTTGGCAAATCTTAATTTAGACTTTGGACTACATCCTAGTGATTGTTTCCAGAGGGAAGCAACGAGCTACACGTCCTTTATCTTCTCTTAATTTTGAAGCCTTCCTCCTCCCCACCCCCAAAGGAGCAAGTGGGAAGTGTATTTTATATGTACATATATACACACATCAAGACACACATCTTTTGATACTTTTCACGTATATTTTAGCTTAATTGAATTTCTATATATGTTCTAGTGTTAATTTCTTCTAGAACACTCCTGAGGCTTCTTGAGATGCTGTTTTCCACGTCTTTCTTCCCCTGCCTCCTTTTGATCTCTTATGCCCTGGTTGGTCCTCCACCTTGAACTCATGGCTGATGTTACCCAGTTGCCTTCTGTTGTTTCTAGTGCGCCTTTAAGTCCGTCAGTGCTCTGGCTCTATTACATCCCCGTCTTCTCCTCTTCCTCCTCCACTGTGTCGTCTTCATCAACGCAGGTTCTCGGGCTCTTGCTTCTATGTTACAGTGCTCACACCTCTTCGGATCGCAATGAGGAAGCTGATTTTATTTCTAACACTTTTATTTTAATGCCGCATTATTTTCTTAGAAGTCCACATCTCCAGCTGGCCTTGTGCAGTCTTCCTTCATACTCCATTTAAGAAATGAGCTCCTGAGTGTAGGGATTATACCAGGGTTGGACCAAGTTTTGAAGGGTAAATGCTTTTGGAGTTTAGTGCCAGGAAGTTGAGTTCAATTGTAAAACACTGCTGTTCCCAGAGGACCCACGTACATAGCCTTTCTTCAGGGAGCCCCCCCCCCCACCTTGGAAGCTGTAGAAGTGGGGTGAATCTCTGTGATTTTGTTCCTTACTTATTGTATGGGTTCACATCTGTTTCCTTCAGAATCTCCCCATGCAGCAATGGCATGAGAGTGGCCTTGTTTTCTTTTTTTCTTTCTCCTTTCCCCTCCCCTTTTTCTTTCTTTTCTAATCTCTTCCCTCCCTCCTAAAACATTGGTTCATTTTTTCCCCATCCTATTTCCTTTCTTTCTCATTCCCATTTCCTTTGTCGTTAGACTTAAATCACTTCAAGCCCAGGAAGATGCTCGTCACAGAAACTCAGAGAGTCGGCGCTCGGAGGCTTCAAGATCTGAACGTCAAGCTTCAAGCAAACGGGGCTCAGAAGCACGAGGCTCAGAAGGACGGGCCTCAGAAGCACGAGGCTCAGAAGCACGAGGCTCAGAAGGACGGGCCTCAGAAGCACGGGCCTCAGAAGCACGGGGCTCAGAAGCACGGGGCTCAGAAGCACGGGCCTCAGACTTACGGGGTTTAGAAGCACGGGGCCAAGAGGTGATGTTCGACTATGAGAAACATCTCCAAAATCTGAAGGATGAGATAGCTGTGTTGTCTGCTGAAAAATCCGGTCTCCAGGGAAGGTCTGACAAACTCTCCCAGATCCTTTCATTTGCCTTTCAGGTTTTTTCTTAGTAGCTAAAGCCTGGACAGTAGGGAGAGGATGAGAGAGTGAAATCAAAACCCCAATGTCCTGGGAAGCTCCGGTTTGTAAAAAGGTTATTTTCTTTCTTTCTTTCTTTCTTTCTTTCTTTCTTTCTTTCTTTCTTTCTTTCTTACTTACTTCCTTCCTTCCTTCCTTCCTTCCTTCCTTCCTTCCTTTCTTTCTTTTCTTCCTTTCTTTCTTATCCTGGCCAGAAGAGGGCACCAGATCTCATTATAGGTGGTTGTGAGCCACCATGTGGTTGCTGGGAATTGAACTCAGGACCTCTGGAAGAACAGTCAGTGCTCTTAACCGCTGAGCCATCTCTCCAGCCCCTGAACTTGCACCTTCTATCCAGGAAAAATGCCTGAGAACTTATAAAGGTGGTGTCTTGGCTTTGAAACCAGGCTTGTGTGAGCTATTTCTTCCATGGATAGTATGCGTTGAAAGAATGTTCCATAACCTGACACTCTTTCCCCAGAAGCCCAGGTGTCCTGTGTCCAGTGGCTAGAGACGTTTGTTCATTTTACCGCACTGCAATTTCCCCTTGAGCCACAGTCCCGTTTTGTAGCCAAGAGTGGCCTGCCTTTCACTATGTAATCAGAACTGCCATGAGATTTGCCATCCTCCTGCCTCAGTGTCTTGAGTGGTGGAATACGAGGTGTGAAGAAGCACCACACCTCTCTTCTCTCTCCCTCTGTTGATGGGCGTGCATAGGTTGTTCATGAAAATCCCTGCTGTTCAACCCAATGGGGAGATGAGTAGGGTACGTGAGGACAAAGCAGCTGTGGCGCCAACACTGCAGTTTCTCACTTGCTCTAGTCCCCTCTCCCCTCTGGCACCTCTTGAGTGAGGTTATTGAAGCATTGGCTCCGTGCCTGTCCCCATTTGCCTCCATGAGTCCTTCGTTTGCAGAGGCTCTCCTCTGTGCAGTGCCCATATTGACTGGAGCTGATCAGCCAGTGCGAGTAGTGGAAGTATTTGCCCCATGGGAACGGGCAACACCAGTAAGGACGGTGACAGTCCCCACTCACAGAGTAGGCTGACTGGATGGCTGCTTCACCCTCGTACTTGCATAGCTCCTTCTATAAGACTTCTCATTGCGGCCTCATTGCCATGGCGCTGACCGGTGTGACCTCTAATAGTTTACTTTGCTCTTGATAGCAGCCGAGTTTCAATCACAAGGTCCTGGGAAGTACTTGGATGCTGTGTTAGTACTTCAAGGTCAGTTTAAGAAACTCCAGCATCCGACTTGTATGCTAACTCCGGTCCTCCAGATGGTCCTCGAGGACTTCCGGTTCCCCCTTTGTGAAATGCTGAGCAGTCAAAGTTGGAGACACTGGGTGACTGAGCATAGAACTTGGGGTTCTCATGATAAAAGGGCTTTGTGATTACTAATTTGCTGGGGAAATATGGAGTATTCTTTCCCATGTCTGGGGCCCTTGTAGACAAGAATGCCTACTCCTAGTGGGGAGGACGTCCCCACAGACCCTCTGCCTGCCCACATGTGAGAGGCTGTAGGGTATTATTGTGTCATTTGTGAAGTGTATGCGGAGAAGACTAAGAGCTCAAGAAGTCCAGGAACGAGGGAAGAGTGAGTCACAGTCTTGCCCAGCTGATTCTTGTTCACCTGCAGGTCAGTGAGGAGCCGGTCTCCTAGCCCTATCCGCTGTAGCCCTAGCAGAGGCCGCAGTCGCAGCCGCAGCCGCAGCAGGTCCAACAGCCCCTGCACCATAATGGCCAAGGTCAGAAGCCCGTCCCCAAACCGGTCCAAAATGTCCAGCGTGGCTCGCAAAGCGGCTCTCCTGTCCCGATTCAGCGATGCCTATTCCCAGGCCCGTCTGGACGCACAGTGCTTGCTGCGGCGTTGCATCGACAGGGCGGAGACGGTGCAGCGGATCATTTACATCGCCACAGTGGTAAATGCGACATCTGCAGTTGGACTTCGGGTTTTTGGGGCAATGGGAGATCCATCACTAAATGAACGGTGCAATCTTAAAAGGCTGGTACATCCTGAGGTCACTGGGGAGAGGGGATTCCAGTCCACCCTTCCTTCCCCTCCCATCCTTTCATTAACTATATTTGGGAGCTATTCATTTTTTTACAACTGTGAATTATCAAATATACTATTAGCACTTAAGTTGAGCAGACATTTATTGCAGTGTCCATCACTCAACACAGGGCTGTCTCAAATGGGTTCACGTCAAATCGACCAATAATGTACCTTTTGTGATATGAGCCTACACCAGCCCATCTTGTTAGTGTGAGAGCAGACATATCAGAAATCCTGGGTCTATCATTTACGTCAAAGGTCAGCAAGCTATGTGCACGGGCCACTTCCGGCTCGTTTCTGAAACACTGCCCAGCTGCTAAGAAGGAAGAACAGGTTTATCCTTTTAAAGAGGTGTGATAAAAATTAATCTGTGCCAGAAATTGTAGCCAGTGAGGCCTAAAGCATTTACCATTTGGTTCTTCCTAAGAGAATCTTGCCAGGCCCTAGTTTATGTAACTAAGAGTGATTTGGTTAAAGCTACTTTGTGATTTGGTTAAAGGGATTTGGCTAAAGCCTGAGAAAACAAGTCAGTGTTATTGTTACTGTCAGTGTTACCGCATATGGGATATGGGGTAAGAGGTATGGGATAAAGGGTTGTTGGGAAATTGGGACAGGGTGTTTTCTCTTAACATGTTGGCTGGTACCATGACGTTACTGTGTGCCCACAGCACAGGACTTAGGTCTCTGGGTCTGCCTCATGCTGCTTTTTGGCCCCCAGAGTTACCAACACAATGCTTACTTGTCTTAAGTAGTTAGTTAGTTAATTAATTAAGTAGTTAATTAGTGTGTTATCATGTATATTTCTACAAATGTTTTAACATTGAAGGTCATATTATCTCACGGGTCAAAACCATGTTTAACCAGCCGTGTTTGGTTATCCAGACACCTGTTTGATGTTGCATTCCGAATTCCCCCTGATTCCTTTCTTTGGACCTTTCCACCTCCTCATCAGATAAACTTGCTGTGTTTTCGTGTGCAGGAGGCGTTTCATGTAGCTAAAATGGCGTTCAGGCATTTCAAGATCCGGGTGAGGAAGATGCTCACACCGTCGCACGTGGGGTCAAACGACTTCGAGTGTGCAGTCTTGGACTATATCATTTGCCATCTCGATCTCTATGACGCTCAGAGCAGTGTTAACGTAAGTGTTGGGTCTCTTTTGAGGACTAGCATGTGACTGATGATAACGTACAGAAATCCTGACCGACTGATGATGACATACCGAATACTGACCGCTTAGGAATCCAACCGTATCTTTGGTATTTTGTCTATGGGGTGGAGGAGCACAACATTCAACTTACCCTGTAAAACCAGTTCTTATTGACTGCTTTCCTTCTGTATTTGTATGCAAGTGGAGTGTGTGTGTGTGTGTGTGTGTGTATCTGTGGGGTATATACACATCTGTGGAAGTCAGAGGTTGACTCTGCGTATCTGCCTTGATCACTTTCTAATTGCTAAAGCAAGGTCTCTTGTTGAGCTTGCCAATTTAGGTACTTTAGCTAGCCAGGTTGTTCAGGGAACCTCCTGTCTCTGCCTCTTTAGTGCTAAGACAGCTTCCCCGAATTTCTGAGAGTTCTGGGATTTGAATACAGGGCCTCATGCTTGTGGTAAATGCTCTACACACTGAGCCATCTCTTTAGTTCCTTACTCAGGCATCTTACGGGGAAATGTTCAGAGCTTTGCACTGCCAGCCTTTAGGTGGGTCTTTGAGATTGGGAGTTGAAATATTTTAGTTCTTAAGAGCAAGGACTCTGAGGAATGAGTACTGATTTGGCCTAGACTTTGTCACGTGACTACTGTGTTGCCTTCCACAGTCCTTTAAGCTCTCAGTGCTCTGACTTTCTAATCTCTGACAGGGAGCCTCAGAGATCCTTCCTTATCCCACACAGCTGCTGGGAGGGGCCAACGAAAGGAGGCGGGCCATTTGTCTAGCGCAAAAAGCAAGCCATTTTACTTCCATTATGGTGTAGTGGAGGAATAGCCAGAGTTTTTGGCTGGTATCTCTCACATTTACCCATGGAAGAACAGTCAGGAGGGAAGATGCTTCAGTTGGTAAAATGCCACCATGGAAGGCACACACATAAAATCTGGATGAGGTGGCACATGTCTATAATCACAGCATGAGGGGTCAGAGACAGATCGATATCTGGGACTCATTGGCTGGCCTGACAGCCTATCTAAATCAGGTTCAGTGAGAGACCCTGTCTCAAAAAACAAGACTGAGAGCAACAGAGAAAGACATCCATCATTAACCTATGAACTCCACAATCATATGTGCTCACATGCATAATAACATGTACCCCCCACATATGAACTAATAAGCATGATGGGCCTCTTCCTTCAGTTTTTTTAAAAAATTTTTTCCTTCAGTTTTTTAAAGAGGGATTCTTCTTGCTGTCGGTTTGTTTCTGCTGTGTCTTCTCTCTTTTTTTCCCTAGTGAGCAACCGCATCCTTCTCCTCCTGGTACACCTGCCCCCCTTTGGATCCACGTATTTCATTCACACGCTCTTTCCCATCTCCCATCAGTCACATGATGCTGAGAATCCTCTGGATGTCACCGCCAATCGATGCCATCATTTGTTTTTCAGGATGTGATCCGTGCCATGAACGTCAACCCCAAGATCTCATTCCCTCCTGAAGTTGACTTCTGCGTCCTCAGTGACTTCATCCAGGAGATATGCTGTATTGCCTTTGCAATGCAGTCCTTGGATCCACCGCTAGATATCGCATTTGGGGCCGACGGAGAAGTCTTTAATGATTGCAAGTAAGAGACACAGGAGCAGGTGCTAAACAATGCTCACTGTCTCTGCTCCCTGGGAAGATGCACGGGAAAGAACCATGGGTAGAGAGATCAGTAGCCACTCCTGTGCTATGAGTTTCTTTGTACCATTATCTGGATCCTCCTTGGGCTCATTCTTCACTGAATATATTAGCTTTCGGGAGACCTAAGGAGTTGCCTGGAGCCTTGCTGGATCATTGGAAATTAAAAAAAAAAAATACAAGGCAGTGGTGGCACACGCCTTTAATCCCAGCCCTTGGGAGGCAGAGGCAGGTGGATCTCTGTGAGTTCGAGGCCAGCCTGGTCTACAAGAGCTAGTTCCAGGAAAGGCTCCAAAGCTACAGAGAAACACTGTCTCGAAAAACCAAAACAAAAAAATATTATTATTACTATTATTGTGTACGGTATATGCATGTGTGTGCATATGTGTGCAGGCAGACACTCTTGAGGAGGTCAAAGGTTGATGCTCAGAGACACCGGTGCACCATCAACTCAGAAGCAGTTCAGGCATCTGTTAGGGGTGCACACATCTTCACCAAGGTGTGCACTCTTTTCTGCAGTGGTTGCAGCATGGCGCTTGGGAGGCTTGTGGTTCATGAACAGCAGGCATACTCCATGCACACTGGTGTGCTGGACTCCCTTCTAGAACCATTAGATTCTACCAATTTTCACACGGCAAATATTCTTCTAATCAGAAGAAGCTGAAATAACCTGAAACATTCCCTGAGATTTGGCAAGATCTTATCTATAGCTGGAGATTACCTGAGGAGTGGCCAAGCTAGTGGTTAGGAAGGCCAGCTCTGGCCTCAAGCTGCCTAGATCTAAATCCTGACTCTACCTGATCTTGGGAATGGTCCTTTATTTTTCTGTTCTTCAAGTCTCTTCTCTTTCAAGGAGTGGGGTCTGTAATGCTTCATTCCCAGGCCTGTAGAAGGCTAGCTAAGATCACTCAGATGGAGTGTTGAGGATGGTGCCAGGCATGTCGTGAGTGCTTAGGAATATGAATTCTGGGTCTTTGTTTTAGCCATAGTTCAGGCTGCCCAGCTTTCCTGAACGCTTACTGATGAGGGAAACCACGCATCTTGGTCTCACCACAAGAATGGGTTTTCTGGTTAGTTTCATCCATGCTCTTGATTCTATGTCTTGATTCATGTTCTAGTGTCTTTCAGCTCACTGTTCCCAGTGTGTATCCACTCCAGAAGAGCTGGATGTGTGAACATTGCCCTGCAGTTGGGTCCTTTTCTCTGCAGAGATTCTTACCACCTTCCATCTTTATTTTCTTTCTTTGGAATATGGGAATTAGCATTAGATGTTCACCCACTGTGGTTTGTGGGTAACTGTTGGGTCTCTCCATCACATGCTTTTAACCAGAGGAAACCTAGAAGGCTGAGCAGTTGAGATTAGAGTTCCTAACTATAATTGAATGTGATTCTATTGTTGTCCCTCCGTGTCTAGAGGTCTCTATCTGTTGAGTGAACCAGCCAGGGGTTTAAAATATGAGGGGAAAAAACCTGAACATATATAAACTATTTTTCCTTATCATCTCTTAAACAGTATAGACTAATAATTGTCATACCTCATTAACATTGTGTTAGGTATGGCTAAACAATCTAGATGTGACTTAAAGTATGCAGGGTAAGTTCCATAGGTTATATGAAAATGTAACATTATCTGTCTATCATCTATCTGTATGTATGTATGTATGTATGTATGTATCTATCTATCTATCTATCTATCTATCTATCTATCTATCTATCTATCTATCATCTATCTGTATGTATGTATGTATGTATGTATGTATGTATGTATGTATGTATGTATCTATCTATCTATCTATCTATCTATCTATCATCTATCTATTTATAGTCAGTCTTACTACACAGCTCAAGCTAGCCTGGAGCTCATTAATTACATAAGAATGGCTCTAAACTCAATCCTTCTGCCTTAGCCTCTCAAGTGTTGGAATTACACGTTTACACCACATACTCAGCCTTTGAGACCATTTTATATAAGGCATATGAACATCTGGTGACCCTGGTATCTGCTGGGTCCTGAAGCAATGCCACTTGAATATAAGGGGGCAGAGTGTTTTAGAAAGTCACAGAACACATTAGAGCACTTAGTACCTGGCATCCTTTCCCGGGAAGCATTCCTGAAATCCTTTCCTTGGCCTCACGGCATCATAGTTTTTCCCATGATGTGGGCTGGGGACTCCTTGACAAATAGCTCTGATCCTTGGCCTGGGCTCAACTGGATCTGTTGAGTTTTCCTTTGAAAGGAAGAATCAAAAAAATTGGATAAAGGAACCTAGATTGAAGTGGTCAACAACGAGGGACTAGCACTATTTCATCCCTATTTATCCCTGTCTATCAATGTAACTAAATTACAGACGTTTTTTATTATGAAAATGGCATTTGCCCATTTCAAGTAAAACTAAGCTTGCTCTTACTGTTTGCTGTTTGTGCTTTGCCTAAACCCGCGTTTCCTCTGTTTGTGCTAACACACTTTCCACACTCCACCTTGCATGCTCTCATGTGCTCACAGTGCGTTGTCTTCTTACCCCTGGCTTACTGTTCCAGCCTATTGAGCTATTTTATGGGGTGCCGTCATCTAGGTTTTGGGTTTTTTCTACCTGCCTTTGAGCAAGTTTTTCTACATTTTACCCAAGTCACTGACAAATATATTGACTTGTCATCAGATCGAGAAAGAGGACTGCAGAGATGGCTCAGTGGTCAAGAGCACTTGGCTGTTCTTCCAGAGGAAGAACAAAGGACAGGGTTAAATTCTCAGCATCCCACAACTGTCTGTAACTCCAGCTTCAGAGGATCTGACCTCCTCAGGCACTGCGTGGACATAGAGCCCAGACATTCATACCACAAAATATCCATAAACAGAAAAAATTGTGAGAGAGCCCCCAGCATCTTCATTCTGATACTAATTGATCTGCTGATGGTTCCTCTTTAGATGTGCCCAGTGAGTCACATTTCAATCTGTCGATGTAAACATTTGCCTAGATTTATTGTTTTGTTCACAGAGATAGCATGAGAGATATTGTAGAAAGCCTCAGAGGACTTTGTCTATGCCTCTAGCATTTTCTAGACTTAGAGCTCTTAGGATTCTGAGAAGACTAGAGACGGGATGAAGTTTGTTGACGTGTGTTCATAGCAAGTCTGTGCCAGAGGCTAACTGTTTCTGGTTTTTATTCTAACGACGTGTCCATCTCCTTAACCACAGAATGAGGATCTGGGCCCTTTTCAAATCTAAGCCTAGTCAAAACTGAACTCTTCAGTTGAGTTTCCCCTAGCTTTGCTACAAAATGCTTAACTTCCAGCTGGTGGCCCTGCCCCAGCGGTAGAATGTATGTCTAGCACGCGCAAATCTCTGGGTTTGATCCCTACCATGGAAAATCAGTTTCTTACCTTCTGTGTTCTCTTGTGCCTTTCCACAGGTACCGCCGCAGCTATGACTCGGATTTCACTGCCCCCTTGGTCTTTTATCACGTGTGGCCTGCTCTCATGGAGAATGACTGTGTCATCATGAAGGGAGAAGCTGTCACCAAGAGAGGGGCTTTTGTACGGTGGCCTTGCATAGTGACAGTTCATCCCCAGTGTTTGATTCACAAGTTCGAGAACATTTATAAACCCAAAGATTCTATAAAAGAAGTTGATAGAGTTTGATAAGATTTCATACAAAGGAGAAGGGAAAAAACAGTGGCCTGGTTTTTGGACTGTCCCACAATTCTTTGCAGTTCCCTGGCAGTGACTTCATTGCTGCTCTTCTGTCTAAAGACAGAGTTAGCCATGGCTCATTTATCTATTCCATCTTAGAGCTATTCTGACATTCCTAATTCTTCATTTGGGGGAAATTATACATGTATCCTGATTTTCTCTCCTTGGTATGATGTACAGGGAAGAGAAGGATGGAAGAAAATGGGGTAGAGGGGGCGGGGAGAAAGGAGCTATTTGCTTTGAAGGGGTGTTTCTTATAGTTCTTAGTTAGAGATGTTTTGAACATCTTAAAAAATTGAAAACCTCCCAAATGGAGTCTTGTGTGTGTGTGTGTGTGTGTGTGTGTGTGTGTGTGAGAGAGAGAGAGAGAGAGAGAGAGAGAGAGAGAGAGAGAGTAGGGAGTTTGTGTGCTGGGATTCGTGGCCACAGGGACCTTGGGTATGCATAGACCGTGATGTATTATTCACCTCATCCTTTCCTAGAGAGAACTAGGTGAATTCTGAAGGGGGTTCCTTGGTCCAGAGCAAAGCCAAGGTGGTGGTTTTAATCCCTGTTTTCTGAACTGGGTGAAAGCGGTGGGGCTTTGAGGCTGCACATAGCAGAATAGAGAAGCTTATTTAAAAAAGCTTAGAATGTTGGTGTTATTTTACAAGTTAAAATCCCATTGTAGTGAAAACTATCTCCATAAAAATGTTTTGTGTTTCAAAAGTTGAGTTTATCAAAATTGGATTTTGCCCATCTGACAACACATATGCTCTCCAGTGAACATTTTTATAACACAGGATTCTTGCCCTTACAACCCTCTGTTAGGAAAATTTTACTAACGAAGTGCAATCTGGAAGGGAAGGAGGTGACTCGGTCACAGGTTTTTTTTTTTTCCTCGATTGCAGTTTTTACGATCCTGACAAATAGCTTTTGCCTATTGATCTCCTCTCCCGCAAGCACACATTTACCCTTTTTCACTGACACACAATTAAAACAGTACATCTCCCATGCGCTTGGAGTAGAATTTTCTTCATCTGGACTCAGTAGCTGGCCAGCAGAGGCCTCTCACTGAGTTCAGCGAGACTGACTTATTCTGTGGCTATATGACCCCAGAGCTTCATTTACATGGTAGATACTTACAGTGAACCAACAGCCAGCCTTGAATCCCAAAGCCAAATGTGATGTCTAACAGCTTACAGAATGTGGATACCCTCAAGTTCATTATAATGGGATTTTGCGGGAGAAGTTGTGTCGCAGGAAATACTAGGGACGTCCCACTGGTGACGAGGGAAAGCGCCATCCTGTCAGAAAGCCTGGGGCGAGCCATATCTGCTTTCATAAACTCATTACTCTTTCTCTGCCTCTTTCTCTTTCCTCAGTGGAGTTCTGTGCGACCTGTAGCTCGCTGCCGCAGCAGGAGTTTAAGCCCCGTCTACCCTCGTAACCGCATTGGATTAAGCACGGTACATTCCTGTCAAATCGTTGGTGCAGACAACCTACAGTGATACTTTCCTGTGCAAGGGGTGTTTGCGAATCCATAGGTAGAAAGAGAGGTGATTGCCCTGAACCAACCCCTAAGGGATTTTTCTCTTTTACATAACTATGGCTAAGCAACGTAGCAGCCTAGAGAAAAATAGAAGCACTTGTCTTTCCAGTTTTCCTGTTTAGGTCTTTCAAGGAATAAAGGACTTTACTCATTTAAGCGTTTTATTCTTTTCACCCTTGAGCAGGCTGTGAGAGAACAGACAGATGGATGTGCGGCACTTGAGTCACAGATTTGAACACAGGCCCCTGGTTTTTATACAAACCAGCACATGAGTTGGAGGGATTACTTAGCGTCCAGCTTGAAATACTTTCCAATAGGCAGTTAGAGTATCAATTTGTCTCCAAATTCCAAGTAGAAAAGATAAAATTAGCTTCTTTGCATATTAATCCTTAGAAAGATTACTAATCTATTTAAATTAAAAAATAACATAAAAATATTTCTGGAAACTCTCACTATTTGCATCCTTAAAAAAACATCACAATGACTCAACATTATTAGTCACCAAATAAGATTTAGTCAGCATCTGTTGACTGTGGGGCTGGACCAAGATAGACAGGCTACCGACCCACCGTTCCTTTAAATGGAGATCCTTTCTGTGTGAGCTTGACCTTGTTCTCCAGGAGAGAGTAACAAAGGAGAACTACAGGTGGCAATACCTCACATCTCCCAAATGTCTCTGGCAATGCAGTGGCAGGGCTTCCTCTGCAGAACCAAGCAGAACAGACCCACCATCACCTCAGAGTTTAGCAAGCATCTGTTATCCCTCCTGTAGGTCCCTTCTCAAGCATAACTCGAAGGCCAGATGTGAGAGGGACACAAAAATAACCAAATGCGGTCTTCTCCACGAATGGGTCACCATCTAGGAAGATCAGTGTCACGTGAACGACTTAGTCGGACGGTCATGATGCAGATCAAGTTGAGAGGACCATGGGTGATGTGGTGTAATATAGTCTGTGGTGTAAAAACCTGGAGGCGGTGGGGAAACAGCATAAAAGCTGGCATTTGAATTGGTCTTTTAGAACAGTCTGATGTAGGGGCTGGAGAGATGGCTCAGAGGTTAAGAGCATTGCCTGCTCTTCCAAAGGTCTTGAGTTCAATTCCCAGCAACCACATGGTGGCTCACAACCATCTGTAATGGGGTCTGGTGCCCTCTTCTGGCCTGCAGGCATACACGCAGACAGAATATTGTATACATAATAAATAAATAAATATTTTAAAAAAAAAGAACAGTCTGATGTTACAGAGGAAGCAAACCACGTAAGAAATGCCAGGGAAGTGGGAAAGACCCACCGTGGACACGGTCCTTTTGCTATTGGGGGGTTTTATAAGACTTAATTACATAAATAAATAAGTGTATGAAGAAGGTCAAAAAGAGGACCATGCATTTAGTGGCTCGATAAAGAAAAAGGGGGATCTTGACAGCACCATAATGGGACACCAAGAGGAAACGGTGTATCACAGGAGAGAGCAGTCGACAGGCTGGTCTTAGTAGATGCTTCGCCAGCCCTGAAGACTTGAACTCTGGATTCTCAGTAGAAATTTTATGCCAGGGGAGTGTCTTCTGCACTGAGTCCTGAGACATGTCTGAACCCCCTTTTCTTTACCATTCTCTGCTCAGGGAGAGCAACATGGACCCAACTGTAGCTGAGGACGTTAACATATATTCTCAAAGGTGAAACTGAGCCAACCTCCTTTCTTTCTCAGCCCATCTCTCTCTCTTCCTTCAACAAAGCTAGGCACCTCCAAGAGGAAATGTGAATAGTTTGTTTGGTCTGCCTTTTAGGCTTAATTAAGGCTACGATCCCCACAGAACAGATTCCACCTTGGACAGTATGTATTTACCTGACACGAACAGGAAACCGGCTTGTAGCTGGTACCAGGTGTGAGGTCACAGTGGTAGTTTCTGCTTAGGGAAGGTAATGGTAAGATTTGAAAAGCATTCTTTTGTGGATGCTCAGACCTTCCTTCATAGGGCAGGATTTGGACACATGAGAACTTTTATAAAGAGTCTTTGAGTTTATGTCATAATTTTAGCTTTGGTTGGTTAATTGTGTTAAAAAGATTCTCTCCCATTAAGCCAAATTTTTAATCATGTTAAAAAGTTTTCTCTCTTAAACCATCGAACCCAACTTCCAATCACCAATATAATTTAAACCAAATTAGATGTGCATTTTCTTAAAAAGCCTAGGAAGACTCATGTGGTGCAGTGCCTCAGAGAAACTCCCTGGCTGCTTTTAAGACTCACCCATGTCCCAGGGATCTGCCCTCTGAGCTCTGTCTTGTTTAATTCACGTTCCCCTTTCATGTTTTCAGATGTCTCGAAGCCGGAGTCCTTCTCCAATAAGATGCACATTGCCAAGTAAGTGTGACAGTCAAGGCGGAGCAAGCCTTCTGCTTCTTAATACCTCTATATTGTGCTGCATTTTGGAGCACTGTGATTATTCGTGGCGGGGGGGGGATCTCTCTTCTCCAATTCAGGCTATTCCTTCATTTCTGGGCCCTCTCGCTGATGGTGCCTGGGCTGGTCTCATGGGTTACAGAAGAAGCACCTCCTTGGAGAGATTTAACTGCTATGGCCCTTTTCATTTGGGCAGCTCTGAAGGATGTGCAAATGTGACCATGGTAACGAGCTGTTTGTTTTTCTCCCTAGGATATTAAAACCACCAGCCACGTTCGTTTGCCACAGTCCATTGGAACAGCCAACCTCCTCAGTGCCTCCAGCCACCTGCCTTGTCTGCCTCCGACCTCACCTAACATGAAATGAAAAAGCAATTCTGTGCGTCACGCCGCACAGAGAGTTTAATGCTTTGGCTCAGCGCCTTTGTCACTCTAGGTCCTTAGCAGGTCCTTTCGTTTCGTAGGAGCGAATTCCACTAATTTCATAAAACAATTATATAGGCATATAGGATCATTAGAACAAAGTCCATTACAAAGTTAAGGACTTCCCTCCCTTTCAGAGCCCACGCTAGCAGTGACAGCAGAAGTCACTGTCCAGCTGAATCCCAAAGGAAGGACGAGCGATTTCATTTACAGAGCAGCCAAAAATCCCCTCGTTGCTAGCATCAGCTTTTAGCTCCCTGAAACCAGTTTCAGTGTTCTGATCCCCTCTCAAGGGTTCCAAGATATCCATAGTCTCAGGTTGGGAAATTCATCCCCATAACACTCACTTTAGGGAAAATGTAGACAATAAGAAGATATTCATTTTAAAAGATAGAGCAATTACCTTGCTTCTCTCTCTGTACTTTGGCCGAATGGCAAAGCTACTGGGTTTTCTATTTTCCTTCCTTCCTTTCTTCCTCCCTCCCTCCCTCCCTCCCTCCCTCCCTCCCTCCTTCCTTCCTTCCTTCCTTCCTTCCTTTTCTTTCTCGTTTTGTATACGGGTGCCATTTAATCAGCTCAGATCTGGAAGCTTTAGCATCAAGGGTCTGAGAACTAACTCTCCCATATTATCCCCTTTACACGTTTTCTTGCAAGATATGTAATCAAACAACAAACTTAACCAGCTGGCGACTAACAATCAATTAACAACCAAGCTTCACCAACCGATGAATCAAACTGCATATATACCGGCAACTTATTACAGATAGATTAATGTTGAGTGATACGAGATGCCCCGGAACTGGTCCACGTGAGAGGGCTTCCTATAGAGCAGACCTGTGTCTAGACATCAACATGAGATCAGTGTTCACCGTCTGCTATTCGTCTCGTCCCTGGGACTGTCAACGCTTTCATGCGTGTGTGAAATATCAAGCTTACCTCCCGCTTTCTTCTCTAGTTGTAAATGAAGACCCCCCCTGAAAGCCCTCTGACCAGGGTACGCTCATTCAGGGCCCCAAGTGAGGGGCTTGATCTACTGATTTTTAAGTCGAGTGTATCTCTTTTGACTGCTTCACTGCTCTGTGTTTGAGAGCATCTAGTCAAGGTAGGAACGGGCGATTACTCTCTCCAGGTAAACACGGGTTCCTTACTTTTTTGATTTCCCTTTTGCACAGGCCACTGGCTTGTCACTCTGAGGTCCAAGTGCAAAGCAGCATCTGAGGCTTTTTGGTGGGGATGAACAAAAGCAAACCTCTCTGAGCATCTTGTGGCTATGGGTGGGAATAGATCCCCCCACCCCTGGTCTTTGTTCCCCGAATCTTATGATCCGCAACTCATTCTGAGGTGTGAATTTCTTCCTCTTTGTGGCTTTACTTTTTTGGCCATGATCTCGCTGATGCCAGGACTTGTTCTGAAAGGAACACTATGTGCCATGGTGGTGTGTGATTGCCTCCTGACCATTAGCTTGCTGTGCAGCCTTGAGCAAGTCCCTTGACCTCTCTGAGCCTCAGTTTCATTACAGAAGGAGCAGATTGGATGGAAATGAGAGTTCTCTTAATCCAAATAGGCTCCTCAATGCTTTACTCTGGATAGCCTGGAATAAAGGTAAAAGTTAGTGCAATCTGTATGGCCATATGGTTGTAATAAAGGACATAATATACCGACTATAAACAGCTTTAAATAAAAGTTTTCAGTAAACAATGGGCAAGGGCCATCCTTAAAGATAAAAAGTAAAGCTCTAAGTGCCAAGTTTTCCCAGCATCCATCTGTGACATTACTGGCTATGACGACACCTCAGTACCAGGAGGCATCTTGGCACTTAGAGGTGACTTTCTGAAGTGGTGGGCCATTTTTTATTACATTTCCGTTAAAAGCCAGGCTTATTCAACTTAGGCAGTACAATAGTCACTTGTGTTATGTGACCAAAGTTCTTTCTTAAAATCTTACTAAGCATTGAGAAGACCCCTGTATCTTAAGGTTTTTTTTTTTGTCTTTCCCCCAAAGCCACATGTGCCATCTAACTTGGAAAAAGCAGTCCAGTTGTTTGCTCTCAATTCTATTGAGATACCTGCCATTTCTCAGGCTTCTAATCTGAGCTGTAGCCATGCAGAGAAAGTCAAAAGTCTCTTTGGAAGGCATCCGCGAACCCAGCGGAGGCTGGCCTGTCCTCGTGGCCTCTGGTGCTCCTGTTTGGCACTCTGGGGCAATGTGAGTGTCTGTGTTATCGCTCAGCGTCTCGTGATAAAACTGCAGTAGCGCGCTGTATTCTGACATGCCTTCCCTCCAGATTCTCAGGCTCCTCCCATCTCCACTAACCCACAAAAGTGAACCGCGATCACACATTCATCAAGTAAATACTGGCTGTAGCCTGCCCCGGGTTGACCCCGAGAGAGCCGCTGCCCACGGGGAAGCCAACCTGCTCTGTTTTGTCTTACCACAGCCCCTCTCGCCTGTTCAGGATGCCCTGGACCCCGCTTAACTGTTTTCATTTACCTTATTCCAGTGTTTCCCCACAATAGCTAGGTGCACCTGTGGCTTCGTATAGAAGGAACCTTTTGTTCGGTGCACTCTACAGTCTTGTTTCAATGTCTTTTGCTTTAGAGTAAGACCCCGTCTCCTTTTCTTCTCTTATTTTGGTACACAGCACTAGTTCTTGGTTTGTTTGAAGGGAAAAATATCTCTCTCTCTCTCTCTCTCTCTCTCTCTCTCTCACACACACACACACACACACACACACACACCACGGATTTGCCCCCACAGTGCCAAGGATGCATATGTAGAGAAAGGGCTGGCTCTACGGAGTTTAATGTCTCATCTAGCTGTATTCCTGGGTGATTTTCTTGTCATAAAGAACAGATGTGAATACACACGAAATAAGAAAGCCAGGCTTGTGCCACACAGCTGTAACCTCAGGACTTGGAAGGTCAATGCAGGAGGATTGCTGAAAGTTTCAGGCCAGCTTGGGCTATTTAGTGAATTCTAGGGCAGCCTAAGCCACCTAGGATGGCTTTGTCTCAACAAAGAAAAAGAAAAAAAAAATACACAGAGAGAAAGGCCCAGTAAATACAGTAAAGAAATGCTACAGGTCAATTGAAGGATTCAAACTATTATCAGGCACATATCTCTATACAGGACAAAGCTGTGGGGCAGCTGGGGAGAATACCCCAGGCAGACAGGTGCTTGCTGTTCAACTGTAAAAATCTTGAGTTTGGATTCTAGTACCGTAAGGCTGAGCATGCTGGCAAGGTAGAGACAGGCCCCTTGCTAGAGCAGACCAGGTGAGCCCAGGTTGGGGGGAGGGGTAGGGAGAAGTTATCTCAAAAATAAGGCAGGGGCAAATTGAGGAAGACACTTGACAACAGTTCCTAGCCTCCACATACAACATGGTGCATACGTGCACCAATATCCATATGCATACACATAGGGAACACATCACACACACACACACACACACACACACACACACACACACACATTGCGGGGGGGGGGGGCGGGCAGAAGGAATTTATAATCCTGGCATTGTTAAGGAAGCCAGTGTGAGAAGGCAGCCGCATCACAGGACATCGCTTTGAATGTTTCCCTCCAGCACAGCTGTTGGCTCCACCCATTGTATCCTTAAGTTAGAGGGCATTTGCCCGTCATTCTAATCGGCTTTCAGGAACACCGCACGTCCTGTCGTGGGGTTAGCGCTGCCAGCTTCATTCTGTAAGGCTAGAACTGGTAGGAGATTTCTTAGTGGTGTTGCTTTGAAAACTTTCATACATGTAGTTAAGGGTAAGATGTTATTGGGTATTAAAGAAGCTAGAAAATTTACAAACTGCATTGGATCATGGAACTGTGAGCCCAGGAACCATATGAATAAGTGAGATTTAGAATGGTATGTTAGCCTTAATACAGGAATGAGCAGAAGCCTTGAAAAAAAAATACAAATAGCTTTCTCATTGCAAATGAAACGGGACTGGACAATTTTACACTTGAAAAACAGCCCAGCAGGGGTCAGCATGAACACACTTTCCATAGTGTCACCAACAGTCACCCATCAAAGCTGGGCATCTATTTGCCCTTCTACTGGGTGAGCGACATAGGAGAGTGGCAAGTGGGTATATCGCAGATTTAATTACAAATTGCGTTATCATACTTTTAGACTTTTAGTATTGAAATGATGTATTAAAATATGTTGTAAAATGTACTAGAAAGATGACTTAGTAACTGAGCCATGGCCAGAAGATCTCGGGTGTCATACTGTGTATCAGGTTCCTTAGGAACTCACATCCTATGTTAGGACATTGGGGCCCAAGGCCTTACAGTCCCATTGATACTTCTGTCTCTTTGGTTCAGGGAACAAGTCCTGGCACCCTGTGATAAGATAGTATTGGTCCAGCCCTGTGAGTCTCCAACGTTAGTTGGAAGCAAGGCTCCTTCGTTAGCTTTCGAGACGCTTTTCCTGGTGTGCTGGTGGGCACCCGAGTTGTTGGCGAGGGCTTTGAGGGGAGGTCTTGCAGGGTGGCATTATAGAAGCCCTGTTCCAGGACATGTGTGTCTTTAGGATGCATTTTTTTCTTTTTCAGAATTAAATATGTTGTTGATTACTGAAAGCCATCGCATTAGCTTCTACGAGTGAATAACGAATCAGGGCCATACCATCGACTAAGCACACTGGCCAACTCACTGGTTAGTGAGCGCTATGGTGATACGGGCCGGTTGTGCGCCTGTTGAAATTTAACTCCCACCTCAGGCATTCTGGGGATGAAATCTTAGTTCTCTGATGCTTAGAAGTTGGGGTTTTGGGAAGTGGTTAGTATGAGGTGGTAGAGTCACTAGGTGGGGTGTGGTTCAGTCCTGGTGGCTGCAGAAGAGACACGCTCACACATGGACTCGCTAGTCTCTGCTGTGTGGTGGTCCGTGCTGTCCGTGGACTCTATTAGCAAGGAGGTCATCACTCCATGTGTCCCTTAGACCTTGCACCTTCAGGACCCTGAGCCACAATAAAGCCTTTGAAAAAATATTTTGCCTCAAGTATTTTATTATAATAGTGAAATATGTACTAATACAACCAGTTATTGAATAAAAGACCCAAATAGGCAATCTTTTAATTGTGTTCTTTATACATACTTATCTTTGCTTTCTATTATATAAGTACATGTATATAATATATGTATAATAATATTAGGTATAATAAATTATGTATATATAATATAGTATATATTAACTATTTAAAAACTGTGTTATGAAACTATTATGAAATAAAATTTCTGGTTTATTATGCTGATGCCAGATTTTATCCAGCATGTATGTTTCCTTTAAATTCCCTATCTTTACATCTTCATTTCTAATATCTTCCTGGTTCTCTTTGAATTTGTCCCTTTCCCTGGGTTTCAGTTGATCTTATCTCTTTGATAAAAATTTATTTCCCCCAAATATCAGCCCCTAATCTCCAATGTAAGTTCAAGTGAATTGAAGACAACAAATGGAATTTTACATAAAAGATTTAAATACAACCTGACTTATATAATGCATTAATTTTACTGAGCTTTCAAGTAATTTCAAACTTTAAATTTTTAGAGTATTAAAAAAGCAACACATTTAAAAATTGTATGTACAATAAATCTGACCTCTGGTTTTTCTTAGCTCATTGAGTTCAATGAAAATATTAACTAGTATTTTTCAAACTTTTGACAAAAATACCTGCCAGTCACATCAGAGACGCCTTCTTGGGCTTCCCTCCCGAGCTTATTAAGAGTCTCTGGGTTATTTGTATTAGCCTGACCTAGGTTATCATTGCTGTGATGGACACCATGACCAAAGCAACTTGGGACGGATAGGGTTTCTCTGGCTTACACTTCCACATCACTGTTCATCATCAAAGGAAGTCAGACAGGAACTCAAATAGGGCAGGAACCTGGAGGCAGGAACTGAGGCAGAGGTTGTAGAGGAGTGTGGCTTACTGGCTTGCTCCACTGGCCCGCTTTCTTATAGAACCCAGGACCACCAACACAGGGACAGCACCACCCAAGATCCCCCAGCCATCACTAACAGAGAAAATGCCTTACAGCTGGATCTTATGGGGACATTTTCTCAATTGAGGTTCCCTCCTTTCAGATGACTCTAGCTTGTGTTAAGTTGACATAAAACTAGCCAGTACACACAAGCAGGTTTGCAAATATAGGCCTAAGACCAGGCTTTGATAACCCCACAATCAGAATGGCACAGACCCAATGTATTTTCATAGAACTTTCTAAACAGAAAACGCTGCACTAACCTACAAACCTCTGAGTGCATTCGACTATTTATCTCAACACAGAAATATGCACAGCACTGAAAGTTGGGTATATTTAATCTTTTTCTGCATGTATATCTAAAACACATAGCTAATTATAAGCTATACATTTAGATCATCGCTAAAAGAGGATAAAAAAGAATGCTAATTTTATTTCTCTTCCGCAGAGGTCAGCACTTTCTTGTTTTTAGTGTCTGGATGATTTTGTTGTTGTTGAGAAGACAGATTTCCTCACTGGCTTACATTGTAGAGATCTGTGTTCAGCGTGCATAACTGAAAGCTGGAGTATAACTAGGGCATGAGGCCCTGTGGGTGTGTCTGAACAGTCATGGTCACCGTGCTAAAGGGAGCTGAAAGTTACCTGGGTGACCCAGGCTTGCGATGACTCTAGAAGAAAAGTCTAGAGGAGGCAAAGCGATATCTGAACGTGACTGGAATTTCCTCAGACCCCCACAGAAAAGCTTGACCTTCTACTTCAAAAGATACCAGTGATCCCCAAACTGTCCGAAATGAACTCGCCTCATTCCCTTACGAAAATGAAGGATTTCCCCTCTTTCTTTCAAAGCCCAGTGTAGTTTCCCACCACCCAAAATGTCTCAGTGGTGCAAGGTAGATTCTAGAGAAAGAGCCACAGGTAATCCCAACCCGAGCGAGACAACATTCGTGAGCTTGGCTGGGTTAATAGCGCTCTAAGAAATGTTTGATGGAAATGACATTTCTTTTTAACATTCCTTTGTTCAAGTTTGGCTTTTCTCCTTTGACTAGCCAATGGTGACGAGGTACCATAAAATGACAGGGAAGTTTGAAAACCAAAGTTGTAATTGTTCACAGCAGGACCTCTCTCTCCTGGACTAGCTGAGGCCACGATGGGAGGGAATTCTAGGGGCTGGATTTCCTAGGGGAGCTCCAGGCCTGTGACCCAGAATTTCCCTGGGAAATATATGAGAGGCGCCACTAGATGGCAATGTTGCTTAGGAAATGAGAGGCACACACTTGCTGTAGGCGATGGTTCAAACCGAGAAAGAAGTAGAAAGCCCTCAGAGTTTATCTGCAACTTCATTATTGGATTAATAGCTCACTATAAATGTGGACAATAGCTTATATTGAGAGTGAATGTTCAATATAAAATTGCATGTCAGAAAATTAACTGTGATCAACTATGCCATAACACCTGATAAAGGATTTATGATAAAGGATTCCCTTAAGGCTCAAAACCAAATTTAGAAGCTCTAGGGGGAAGGGTGGGGTAAATTTTTTTTTTATTTTGAAATTCAATATAACACCTCATTGTGTCGATCTAGAGTTCTTACTGGGAGATGCAATGCCATGGAATATTTGGGACATCAATTTTTGCTCTTACTGCTCAGGCAGAAGCCCTGAGCTGATTCTCAGCACACACGCCATGGCTCACTATTGCTCCAGGGGATCTGACGCCCTCTTCCGTCCTCCAAAGACATCTGCACATACATGGTGCCCGAGAACTCAGACAGGTACACGGACAGAGAGGGGCGCACGCAGTCTCTTGGCTTTAGGGCTACTTTTCTTGCCTTCCTGTATGAGTGAGAACACGTGACATCTGTCTGCATCTAGGTTACCATCAAGTTGTCTGGTGCCGTTCCTTTACCTGAAAATCCCCTTTCTCTTTATAGCTGAGTAGAACCCCACTGAGCATAGGGATGGTTTCGTTATCCGCTCATCAGCTGATGGACATCTAGGCTGTCTCCATGTCACAGCCGCTGTGACTAGGGTAGCAGTGAGCATGACTGAGCGCGTGTCTGTAGTAGGATGTGGAGTCCTTTGGGACTATGCCACCAGTCGAGCTGGGTCATGAAGGAGACCTACTTCCGGTTTCCTGAGGGACTATCACTCTGATTTCCACAGCGGCGCTCTAAGATTGCGCTCTCACAAGAGAGTGAGAGGGTGCGCCACACCCCACACCCACCCCACCCCCCCCTCCCCATTCCCCACCACACTCCCATCTCTATCCCCACCCCCATCCCCTCCCACTCCCACCCCCACCCCTGTCCCACAGCCTCCACAACACTTATCTTTTGTCGTGCTAAGGTGCTAAGCCCTTCTGACTGAGGTAAGGCGAAACCTAAAAGTCATTGTGTTCCCTGATGGTTAAGGATGGTGAACATTTACAAAAATATCTCTCAGCCACCATATT